CATCTATAGCCTCATTACAAGCATCCCCTTCAACCAAGGAATGCAACACTGAGTACATACAGCAACCATCCCTATCATAGCCTCTTCCCCTCCCTTACAAAACAATCCACAGGAAACCTATGGCTAATGCAAGGCATTCTGCCACAACATGGTCACACCTGACTATATTCCCTTTGTTACCAAAAAAACTGAAAAGCAGAGACATGTTCTGTGCAGGCTAACTCTCAAAAAAATGCCTGATTTTTCTTCAGCCATTTGTTTTTAATTTCAAACTTTGGTGAGAGCCAGTACAAGTGGGATATCTTTTTGTTTCCTAAGACTGCTGGGGAAAATACATAATTGCAAGGTCTAAAAAGCTATTTCCTTAAAAAGGGGATTGAAATTTTAAAATCGTTTTCTACCCAAATGGAATCATAGCATACAAGTAAGGCAGAATTGGGTCCTGGGGCCATCTTCCCTTCTAGGGAATGATAATCAATAGATCTGATCACAGCATTTTTATTTTTTATTTCGATCTTCAAGTCATTTGGAAGTAAAAATAGTAGGTGAGGACTCTTAATTACAAGTCTCTTCCCATTCCATATACTCCACACACAAATTTCTGCATTTCCAGGTCACTCTAGGAGACAGGTTGGTCTATCATGATTCCATTAGATAAGTAAAATGCAGGGTTTAGTTCTGGTCTACAGCTTTTTATTTTTTTGCCATCAAGGAGACAGAGTATCTGCATTAGACAGCTGTCTGGTTTAGATTTTGCTTTTCTATCCCCACATTATTGAGGTATAAACAATCTTTGGAGCATTTATTTGGTCAGCCCTCCTGAAAGTAAGACTATCCTATCCCTTTTACAGATAACAACTTGGGTTCAAAGACACTTTGTTTCTTGCCTCTGAGCAATAAGGAAATACTTGAAAGGACAAGAACAAAGTCGAAGGTTCTGTTAATAAATGCTGCAGAGGGTGATTTTCAGCCTCTTCTAATCTGTACCACTTCAAGTGTCTCTGCTGAGAAGCAGATATCTTTTTAGTGACTTTAAACTTAATGACAAGAGCTTTCATTTTCCTAGTTACCATTCACAGACACTAGTCTGGGAAATCACAGGTTTAACACCTCTGCTCTACAACTTCAGGAAAGATTCTTCAGGTCCAGGGAATCTGATGGGGAAATTACCCAAAATATATCTGTGGGTTTACCAGCAATCTACATCTTGAGCAGCTGGGGACAAGTTCTCAAGTAGGTTTGGTTTCAACTTTTGTCAACTCCCTAAGTTTACCATCAGTCAGCCAACAAAAAGCCCTGCAAGCCAACAGCATTAGTTTCACAGTCCCTTGAGACTAGAATTTATGTATTCAGTTATCTCTCACTTGTCCTCCACAGGACTGTATGATCCCTCAGTACTGGGCACCACTCACAGCCCTGACACACTGATAATAAACCCTTCTGGTACCTGCCCCTTGGCTAGAGATCAGTGAACAGTTCAGAGTGAATATTGTATCTGATAAATCATTCCTCTTTTGCTGATCAAATTACTGTGTACAGACAACCTCATTTTCTCAGAGGTGTGGTTATCCCTACTTTGCAAATAAGTTTTGCTCTGCAGGCTATTCCCAAGTAACTCTTCCTGGCAATCCTTCATACCCCAGCTGTGCTGCTTAGCTTTGGTTTGGCATCACAACCCTATTGGGAAATTGCCCATCTTCCCTGGCTAGCTTGGAACAGCTCTCCTTGTTGGAGTGCAGTTTGTCACATGGTAGCTCCCAAGGGCCAGTGGCACAATCAGGGCTGCAGGGTGTTAAGCCACATACAAGGAGTGAGCTGTCACAGCACCCTGGGTGAGCAGAAGTGCCCTACAGTTAAAAGGATAATACCTTGTCCCAAAGAGATTACAGAGGACAAGTTGGAAGGGGTTTGGCAATGAAAGCAAGGCATTAGTGTGTACTTAGGGACACGGAGTGATGGAGGGAAGAAATGCTGTCAGAGCCTTCAGCTGCATTGCCACTGCTCTGTGCAAGCTGCAGTGCTTCCACCCCCCAAGCCCTTCACCCACCCCTCGGAAGCAGAGATACTCAGAAAGAGACCCTCAAGCCCAGCTGGAGCATGTGGCCTCAGCAAGGGCTGGATCTCACTCCAGGAAAGGGGATTCACTGCACTGACCCACAGGCTGTGGTGGGACACCCTGGGGTAGGAGCGCTGCGATTCCACAATGAGTCAGTGTGAGAGAGGGGCATTTCCAGGCAAGAAACCGTACCAGAGGTGGGATAATTCCCCCTCTTCAGGAATCCTGTGTTCTGAAGCAGCCTACAGCTGTAATATGAATGCTCAGGGCTACAGGATGTCAATCTGTCTGCAAGTCTGTATTCTTTCCTATTCCACATCACTGTTTCCACATTTGGACCTGGGGGTTTTTTAAACATGCAATTTTTCCCCCTTACAAGATCAGTGTTAAAATCTTTTTTGACTATCATTTGACTATTTCACCTCTGAGTGTGTAACTTGGAGCACTAAGCACATGGCTTTTAAACTCATACATCTTTAGAGTCAAGTATATACCTGAAATATTTCTTAGAAACAAAGTCACTTGCAAGTACTTTGCAAGTATGCTCTAAGGGCACAGGTCTTTTGTCCCAGTTTAACAGCAGGACTAACTCTCCGAAACAAGACTTCTCAGATATATCTTGCAAAACATTATCAGTTCAGTTATGCTAATGATATATTTATACACTGAAAGTGAGACTTATGGAATTGAAAAAAACAGTAGCAAGTAGGACAATACTAATTTTAGATACTGAAGCTGTTGATTAAGAATTATTTTCTTGGGATCAAAGCACATGGTTATGGAAAAATTAGCAGAGTTTAATTTGCATGGAACAGAAAAATCTGCTTATATAAAGAAAGAGAAAAATGACTCCTGAAAGAGATGAACACTTGAAATGCTGTCAAGAACATACAGGAGGCTATACCAAAACAGTAAATAGCTATAGCTAAACAGTCAGCACTCTGTACATAATTAAAAGTAGTATTTGCAATAATCTGATAATATCAGGCTTTACATTGCAAAACAGCACTGGTTTGAGTTCAGAGAAACCCACAGGCAAACAAGGCCCAAACAAAACACACCATTGGAACCATCAGCAGCCTCATCCCCAAGCTCAGAAACAAAGTAGACCACTGCAAAACGTTTGTTATAAATTAATTTTGAGTGGTTGAGAACATTTTTGGAATTGAATTAAACAGGCTGCGTGACTCATTTTTGCCTGAACGGCTGCGGTTTCCAGTCCCTGCCACCCTCCCACAGGGGACTCGGCTCGCCAGGCCCACACAGCGCGGCCGCGCCTGGGACCGGATGGCTCCGGACCGTGTCAGCAGCCCTTTGCGCCGGATCGGGACCGAAATCCTGCAGTCTGTAAACCCAGAGGGGATCTGAGCCGCCTCTGCTGAGATTCATCCAGCCTCAGGCACGGTGAGCCGGCAGCAGGAGCCAGCATTGAGCCGTGTCTGCCCGCAGCCGTCCGCAGCCAGCAGGACCTGAGGGAAAGCCGCGATCGCCGAGCAGCAAAGCAAAGCCACTGCTGCTCGCTCCTGTCGTCCACCAACAGCTGCCTTTCAGAAATCGAGTGCTACGAGAGACCAAAGCTCTTTCCTTCCCTGCAAACTCTGAAGAGATGAGGCAGCTCGGCTCCATTCGGACCCCAAGGGGGCCTCAGGGCGTGCTGCTTCTCAGCAAGTTTGGAAATTCCACCCTAAATATTACGGGACATACCCCTGGGGCTGCCACAGAGCTAACACAGAGATACATTTAGAGCAACAGGGGCCCACATCAGCCAAGGCTCGGTACACACGCAGGCAGACAGAGCACTACCTCTTCTCAAACTTGGAAGAAAGAAAAGGTATAAAGCTATAGATTTGTTTAACCCAAGCAATATGGAATTCTTCTACAATGAGTAATAGACATCATGGCACAAACTCAACTTTGGTCTAAAAGAAATAAAAATATCTCCCCACTAGTCTCCAAAGCTATCTTCTAAAGATAACACAAACACCTGCTGTATTTTAAAGGCATTTCATATCACTGAAATTTTTCTCCACTATTTCTCTTTCAATTTACAGATCAGGACTCAGCAGGTACCTTGCAAAAGGTTGATTCCTAAAACAGGAGAAGCCAGATATCATCTTCCTGAAGGAAAATATGTCCAGCTCTGATGAGGACAAGAGCAGAGCCTCCAATGACCTTGTTTGGGTTCAATGAGCACAACACAAGCAACAGCATTTGTGCAAATTATGCTCCCTAGTTAAAAAATAAATCTGCATTTCTTTAGTCCCCTTTTTTTACATACCCCCAGGTCACGTTTCAACAGTTATGTGTGACCTTAAACCCAAACTTCATGGAAGGGATCTCAGCAGTCCCAGTTGGGCAAACATTTTGGGGCTGTAAAAGCTGATATCATGTCTTGAGTGCCAGCCACACTCCCAGCTCCCAACAGACTCTGTTAACTTCACCGACTGTCCCTTATCTCCAACCCTTCTGCTGCACACACTGTAGGGATATTTTGGCTTCCTTTCTCCTGCCTTACATCAAGGAGCTCCCCATCCTGGCCTGCTGCTCACAAAACAATTTATCAGGTCTTATTTCATTGCACAGGGCCCTCACCCCTGGGCCCCCACCCTGTCCCCCAGCACGCCGTGGTGCTGGCAGCAGGCAGGAGGGGAGGCGTGGGCTTGCTCTGGAGAAAAGCGCGCCAGCGGGCTGATCTTGGTGCCAGAGCCCTCTGTCATGGCTCTCCTGCAGCAGGCCACTGACTTCTATTTCCCCTTTCACTAGAATTCAAATCTGTGAAATTTCAAGACACTTGATACCTTTAACACTTCCACATCTCTGGCAAATGTAATGCAAAGCTGAAAATGAGTGCAAAAGTTATTGGGAACCAAAAGATACAGACACACTGCCTGTCACAATCATCTCACTACTTTATAAAGTAAAAGCAACCTTGTAAAAACCTTACCAAAATCCTGGGAAATCTGGTAAAAAGGGTAGGTAAAAGTCTGTGGTGATTCCATCAAAGTGTCCTGATGGCTTCCCAGCATGGCAACCACAATCCAGCCTGGCCTCCACTGGGCGTTACAACAGCAATTCGGCACTGCTGGCAGCACAAGCAAGTCTGGCACGAAGAGAAACCAGTGGTTTCCTCCTTACTAATGCAGGAGGAAGCACAGGACTTCCTCTCTGCCTCCTCCGGTGCTGCAGGAGTGAAAGAAGATATGGCAATCCAAAGATATATCAGTGCAGAAAAAAAAAATTAAAAGAGAGAAAGAAAAGAAACCCAGAGCAGGGCACACTGTCACTGTTTAAAACGTAGGTGAGATTTAAATAGCAATAATCCCCAGAAACTATCTAGTTCAGGTCATCAACTAACAAGCTGGTTAATTCCTGTAAGGATTAATGCTTGAAATTATTATGCCTGACAGATGTTTGCTGAATGGGAACTGAATACACAGGATGAAGACCAGCAAGAAGTAAAAGTGCAGACAGGTACATCAGAGCTGAGATTTTACAAATCATTAACTCATGCTCTAACGTAATAATAATTTTCCTTATCTTCCATTTCTTTTTTTTTTTACTCTAGCAGGAAATTCCCTTCACAGACTGACACACTAATCTAGATTCTGCTCTCAGTTACAATCATGCAAGACAAAAAGGAGGTGAGCTGATATTTTCAGGAAATACCTCTGCTGCACAATTCAGCTGAATGGAATAAACTTTGCAGGCATTACCTGTCCCTCACAAGGGAGTACATGATAAATTCTCCTTCCCTAATTCCCCAAAACTATTGGAAAATATAAAGCACCATTCTCCCTTGATTAATTAAGATCCTGCTGGGTACTCCAGCTTTTAGGCATTCAATAAAACCCACTGGTTTGCTCTACCTAGCCCACTACCATGTGCATTGTCCTGATGGTGTAGATCTAATACACTCCAGGACCAAAACAGCTGTCACTTTCTCAAGCTGGTGTAAATCCAAAGCAGGTCCATAAGGCCACAATCTCTCAACCTTTGTAGCTGCTGTATGCCATACTTTATATCACACTGAACAGCATTTCTAGAATTACAGCTAATATAGAGCAGAGGTGGAGAAACCAGTGAAAGCAAAACATGGGGGGAAAGTTGTTTTGAATTCTACCTCCAAATTAGAAGCTACAGATAAAAATAGGGATAAAACTGTGAGCCTCTCCATCCATTTTGGAATCAGGCAGCACAAGGGAAGAGCATGGGGAAAAACCAAAGAGAGGAACAAGGATGGATGAAAACCTAGGTGGATGAACAAGAGTGGAATAGAAAATGTTTATCGAGCTAATCTGTGAAGTTACTAATACAGAGAATTAACTGAAGACCAGCAGCCTCAGAGAGGCTGTGACCCCCATGTGCAGCAGTGACCTCAGCTCAGCCAACCAAACAGAATTTCAGTAAAAAACAAATCCCAAGGGACAGAAGAGGAGGAACATGTTAAGAATTCATAGTGCTGATCGTACCTCTAGAGAGGGAACTGATACATCAACCATTTTCCTACTGTCTTGTTAGCCTTTTGCTAACATGAATAATCCTTAGAACTATAAGAACATCTCAAAACACATCAGGATAAGAAGATCTCAAAACACATGCAGACTAAACTATATGATGCCTAAGGGATGTAAACTAGAGATTGGTCCACTTATCTGAAAGTCAAATTATGGTTGTTTTAGAATTATGTTGTTTGAAGGGGAGGTTTTAAATGCCTAAAAGTGAACCTCTTTTTCACTTTCCCCTTGTTCTCTCTCTCTTGTGGTATATCCAAAAAAACTAGTAATCCTAAAGACTAGTAATACTGAAGAAGCAGCTCATACATGGCCAACATCAGCTATGCATAGCAGCTTTTGAAACAAGGTAAGAATCAGTCTCTTTGGATGACCAATCTAGAAGGCAAAGGAACTCTCCTGTTGACTACAGCCAGCCACAAGCTAGAGATAGCAATGAGAGAATAAACAGTGAAAAATGCAGCATTCCCACAAAACTTTCTGTAAGTTAGTATCACAACATATTTAAAATATATAAAAACCACATTACCACTTCAGCATAATTCCCTTTATTTTTCCATATTTTTAAGAAAACCAGATTCAGCAAAATATTCCAAATATCCTCACAACATCTGACTTGCCATCTCTTTTTTCTCATATAAAGAAGTCAATTTCCAGTTTCAGAGAGGGATGAAACTTTTCCCCACTCTTCTGGCCAACTATCGTTTATGTTACGGTAGCCCTTCTTTGGGCTGATGCGTCTAAGTTCAAACAGGGATTCAGTTACATCTGTAGCTGTGGTAACATCTGCTGTAGCTGTAACTCTTGTAACACATCTGTTGGATGATCTCAGATTACCTGGCAGCCCGTGGGCACTGAGAAGGAAACATTTCTGCAAACCCAGTGCAGCCCACGGAGTTAAATGACTACACTGCCCCACTGATTAATCTACTGTAAGTGATACTCAGGGCAGAGTGGCCTCATTGCCCACTAACAGTCTGCATCTTCAAGCAGGCAGTGATGTATTTGTCCTCTAACTGCTCAGGAGACAGAAGTTGTCACCCCAGCTGGGTTGCAAGGGTTATAAATTACAATGTTGTCTGAGCTCTGACAAAGAGCTATGAAACTCCTCAGATAGGAAACAGAGCAGCAGTATAAAAATCTTCAACCATAGCAACTGTGTTATATATTTTTACTACTCTGCAGAAGATATTTCTAACTATGTTTTAGTTGTGAATTAGAATAACATTGGTATAAAGGGACTGTCAGTGCAAGTGCTTCTCACCAAACAATCTGGTTTGGAATTGCTGCGAAAGGACTTTTCAGAAAAGAAACACATCAAGCAATCAGGTTTTCCTAAGTACTGGGCTCGGAGGTACTGGCAGGGATAGCACAGACAGGTGTCAAGCTCTTGATCTCTCTTTCTGGTTTTACACAGTTTCACTCTGTGCAAATAATGAATTGTTATGAAGAACCTAATCATTATGCACAGCCTAATAATTCAGGTGTCCCACCTGGCAAGCTGAGCATCTTAAAGGTCTAGCTTAGGTCATCATTATGCTCTGTTCCATTCAGCAAGGAAAAACAAACAAACAAACAAAAAGTATTTTGATTTACCAGTTAATATTAAAATTCAACCCACACACCAAACCAGGCTAACCAGGCTCCCAAATCTGATCTGAGTAAGACTAAAAGAACCAAGAAGTAGGTTAGCTGCTGATGCAGTTGCTTAACTGAGAAAAACATCTATTTGCAAATCCCCAAACTAAGGTGTAACCTTCTAGTAGCAATAACAGCACTTCACAAATACCAGTGATAGCTGACACAGGAAGGGCACTATAGAAAACAATAACCTGCAGAGCACTGAAGCACATCCAGGTAGATTCCTCAGCAGTGACTAACTACAGTAACTAACTAACGATTCAATAATAAAAGGACTTTAAAAAAAAGGGGGCTGTGACATTTTAAGTATTGGGATTAAACATGCCGACATAATTACTTATAAAAGTGGTTTTAATAAACACCTTCAGCTCTTTCATCAGACAGCAAATACTACTTCACTCTGCAGACCAGAATGACAGCTCCAGCCCTCCTCCATCACGAGGTATTCACAGAATCTTGGAATGGCTGAGCTTGGAAGGGACCACTGAGCTCATCTAATCCAACCTCCCTGTTCAGTCTGGGTCCTAGTAAAGAATGTTACTATGGATTGCGTCCAGATGGCTTTTGAATCTCTATAAGTCTCTTTTGAGTCTCACAATATGCAATAGCTTGACAAGCAAAGACCTGAGGGGAAAAATAAAGTAAAGCTGAAGGCAAAAATACCCTTAGGGATGCTGGTAGCTCCATCACAAACAGGAATTTCTCTTGAAGAAAAAACAAACAGAACGAAACCAACCAACCAAAAGAACACCTCCCAAAACAAGCAAAAAACAACAACAAAAAACCAAACAAGCAAAAAGAAAAACCCTAAACAAACAAACAAACAAAAAATAACCCAAAGACACTTTAAATATTCTCTTTTTTGTTAGGCTGCAGACATTTTCTGTAGATTGGCATTTCACACCAGCAGCTCAACTAATGGAGTCAGAAGGTTTATAATCTGAGAAGACAAGGGAAAATCCCAAGCTCTGGTAAAGCCAAGGGCAATACTGTCACAGAGCCAAGATTTCTACCCTGACTCCTGTGGACTTAAAAGACAAGGCAACAAGTAAATTTTTCCTTGGGTGCTCTCTTAATCTGGAGATCTAAATTAATGTGCGTCTGCGGTGTTTATTACTGAGCCAGTGTTATTAGCCAGTGTTAAAGTCTTGTACTTCACACAAAGCCTGTGCTCAACCTGCTGCACCTATAGACCAATTCTGCTGACTTACATAAGAAACATCACCTACATTTGCCAACTGCTGTCATCTGCCATTCATGTAACCACTACCAAAGACTTAAGTGCTCATGCAAAGACTCTTGCATTAAGAAAAATCAGTCATCTAAGCTAAAGGAAATGCACAGCCTGGGGAAGAACTGACAGCTTCAGAACTGACTGAAATTATTTCTTTTATTTAGTCACAGAAGCTTTAATGTAGAAGGATATTTTCTCACATGACCCAGTCTTTGCATGTAACTGATTTGAAAATGCAGTGGGTACATCAGTACTTGTATACTTTCCACCTTCAGCTTCCCTGAAATCCTTCAGGCTGCACTGATGGAGCACAGAGCCTGGATAAAGACCAGCTGTTACATCTCTCAAACTACTCCTCAGTCAGAACCAACACATGTTCTTATGATACAATTGCCTCATTATAATGGCAGGAAGATAACAAAGCATGTAATGCTTTAAATCACGTATCACTTCTATGTGAGATGGAGATAAAACACAGCCAAAAGTAACCCCTACACTTCTTTCACAGTTTGATTTATTTTGTTGTTGTGTCAGTCCAGATGAGTGAGTAGGCGAGTCAGTGTGTGAGATAATCTTTTAGGGTGAAATCTCCAATGTTGGTTTTTAAATAAAACAGTACCCAGATGCACTGTGGGTGGTTTACTCTGTCACAGCTGTGACACCCTCCCACCTGGTACCT